AAAAAAAAGAAAGAATGCAAATTCCTATCAATTCATCAAATTCTTTATGGCAGCAGGCACATTTGCATACATTGGGGGGATTATCTACAGCTCAAACTGGTTTTCATTAATCAACAGAAACTTGTTTATCATGCAAAAATGTAATTTCCACCTTCCATTCGTTACAATGTCTCACATAAAAAAGCTCTCGGCTTAGTGTTCAATTAATTAATTACCACCCTTGTGACGGACTGCTACACAGAGCAGATTTGTGTTTTATTTCATTAATGAAAATGCATGCATAAAAGAGCCATTTACACACACAAACAAAACAAAGCAACTTACGCCAACAGCATAACACTTGGAAATCACTCTGATACAAATGAGATAACTGCCGAGGCTTGTACATTGACAATGAGTTTGTCTACAGTTTAAGAGGAGCCAGAAGAATCAATTGACCTGCTTGTTGCTTTTACAGAAGTGTTGTAATTACCCTGTTTTTACATGCATATTTTGGACCAGGCCCTGCACGTGCATTCACAGGTAAGCCACCTTGCTCAAGGGCAGAGCAGCTGTGTCTCCTCCTGGGACTTGAGCCAGCAACCCCACCTGTTCAGGAGTCCTGAGCCCAGACCACAGCCCCACCCTGCCGCCCACGGCGCCTTTAAACAGCATCAATAAATCACCGCCGTGGGCTGAAGTCAGATAAGAACTGGAGCTCGGAGCCAGCAGGTCACCCCTGCTAAACATTCACTGAGTGCAGAGAAGTGCGCTGTAGGAAATGTGCACAAACATGCACCCAGGCAAAGCACAAAACACAAAAGCAATAATATTGTATAATAGTGTATGTGTGAAAACCTCAGGGACAAATCAGCGACTGAAGTGAATGACCTTCAGATGGCATCAACTTATAACTGTAAAAATCCTTTCAAGCCCCTGACAGGGGCGCTTATAAAAAAGAGCCCTAAAACAGATGCACGGCCCGGCTACGTCCGACGCTGGGCTAATCGCTGCTGACAGCGGCGGCTCCAGCAGCAGCACGTGCTCCATTTTCACAGAGACAGCTTGACACCTCATTATTTATACTGGCGCCAGGCCACCCGCCCCAGTCCGCCGCAACCAGCGACGAGGGAACACAACATCTGGGCCGTCTCCCCGCCGGCGGGCCCAGCGGAAAGCAAATGAGCTGGGCTGAGCCCAGCTGGCTGAGGGACACCGGCTTCAAACCGCGGAACGGCGCTGCAGGAGCTCGGAGGGGGA